ATATTTGGAACACTACCTGAGAGCCAGACCTGCAGATAAAGATGGAAACGCTCCCTACTGTTCTTGAGAAGTGACGCTCTTTTGTTGGAAACAGGTCTGTAAACTCTAATTCCCATCTACTCTGAGAAATGTTATTATAGAGCAAGGGATTAGCCTGGGGAAGTTTTGTGGAAAAAATTAAGCCTGGGTTGAAAGTCTTGGAGGATGAGAACTTTCAACTCACACCATAGTGATGGGACAACGGTGTGCCTCTTGCTTAAATCTTCTGATGCTTTCTAACTGGTAGAACTTTCAATGAATACAGACGACAGGTTGCCTTTGAAATGATGAAGAAGGACAGATGACTCTATGCAACCTGTCCCCCATGCTGAGGTTGAGTGAGTAGGTAGGAATCCTGTGGTCTTCAAGGAGTTTCTTCAGTCTGGCTATAAAAGTTAATGAACACCACCTCCATGGTGACTCATTTCCTCTCTCTTGCTGTTAGGATTTGCTTTAATATCAGGATGGATGGATGCCGGACGGCTTGCTTGCATCAGTGTTCATGGTCACTATCTCTGTCAAATATAAAAGAACAAAGTCCAAGGCCATAAAAATTTGCACCCAATAAAGGCAGGAAATAGCTCAATTGTTTTTGGATATTTTGTTTGTTTGTTTTGTTTTGAAACAGGGTCACATGCAGCCCTGGTTAGTTTCAAATTCCCTTGTAGTCAAGGATAACTTTGAACTTGTGATCCTTGGCCTCTACCTCTCAAGTGCTGGGATTTTAAGCATGTACCACCTTTCTTGGTTTCTTGAGACTAGGTACCAAGTGAGTCCTTACCTTACCAAAGCTGGGTACAATTTTCCCTTGACTTCAACTGAAGAAACAGGAAAAGCTCCACTATTGGACTCAAAAGGGAAAGTTTATCAGTCATGTAAAGAGGAAGACATAGGGGCCATTGCCTTCCAAACTTCAGCTGGAGGAAAACGGAGTCAGAAAACCATGCAAGAGAACCCCCAGATGACCACTTCTCAGCACAGTGTACTCTAGCTGTTAGCTGCTTGGAGATATAATTACTTTTAGTTCAAGTTTAAGTTCTTCAACCTTGTTCCAAACCTTCCTGTAGTTCCTTCAAGTCCTCAAGACTTATTTGGATGAGCTTTCTGTCTCTGATCTTGTTCATAAGCAGGAACCCTTTGTTTTGCTCCATGGGAAATATTTGCATCCATCTTCTTGGTCTGTGCTGTTCAATATGGCAGCCCATAACACACACAGCTATTAAAAAAGAAATTTCATGGATTGAAGATGGAGCTCAGTGGGCAGTGTGTTTGCCTATCACACACGAGGCCCTGGATTCATTCCCCAGCACTGCATAAAGTTGGACATTACGTTGAACACCTAGAAACCCAGCACTTGGATGGTAGAGGCAGGAGAATCAGAAGTTCAAGGTCATCCTAAGCTACATAAGACCCTGTCCAAAAAAGAAAGAGGAAAAGAAAAGAAATTCCACTATATAGAATTAAAGTTTAATGTTCAGTCCTCAGAGTCACTACGCACTTTTCAGACGTTTCATGAGCACCTGTGGTTAATGGTGCCTCATGGACTGCACAGGTTGGAGTAGGCTCGTGAACACAGCAATGGTTGTTGGACAGTCATCTTAGCATGCATGAATTGTTGAGAACTCACTGAGTATTTGGGGGCCCAAGGGGAAATATATTGTTTTCATCAGAAAATGTACTTTGAGCTAAGCTTTTTTTTTTTTCTTTTTCTTCTTCTGGTGTTGAGGATGGAACCAGAGTCTCACACATATTAGGCAAACGTTCTGCCGCTGAGTTCAGCCCCAGCCTGGTGGAAGTACTGTTAATCACCCACCTCTTCTCAGGGGCATGCATCTATGTGTAGAGGTGCACCAATGTGTGTGTTTCCATTTGGAGACTTTCAGGATGCCAAGTTGAATCAGTACATTTGATAGAGCTAAGATGCCTCAAGCAGTCATAAAGTGTAAGTTCTTCCAGAAAAGGAAATAAAACATTTCTCCCTGAGAAAGATGTGAATGCCTTCTGCAAAAGAAAAGCGTTAAGTGATGCTTTTCTCCGTTGGAGGAAACAGTGGTATGAGTGGGCTAGCTTGTCCATTAGGACCTCTGGAAGGGAACCCTTAGGACGGGAAGGTGCAGGTTTGCAGCAAGTGCTCGTCTCCAGTGGCCGATCACATTAGTAACTGTACTTTGCTGAGAATGAACATAGAGATGGGGAGTTGTGAGTCCTTCCTGTGAGTGGCCTGGAAATGTGTCAAGGACACAGACAGAAAGTGGAGACTTTAAACACAAGCTGGGCCTGTTGGCAGCTAGGGAGGTATTTCTACTGTTGGAGAGACTAGGAACGATTTCCAAAAAAGGGTTGTGACCTGGGACTGGGGAGCTAGCTCAGCCTGTGTACACCTTGATGTGCAAGCACAAGGATCTAAGTCTGATCCCCAGCACCCATATAAAAAGCCAGATTTGGTGGCATAGGTGGACAGATCTTGAGGAATGACACCCAGGATTGGCCTCTGGCCTTGCCACATGCACTTGAAAACACACAGATGTGCACACAATGCACACAATGCACACACGCACACACACACACACACACACACACACACACACACACACACACACACCTGTGTCTAGCCTAAAGGTAGATCCTTTCTTCAAGGATAAAAAAGCTGGCTCCTTCAGAATTGAAGCAGGACATATTTCCCAAAAAGAAGGAAAAATAAAGGTGATGTACAATACAAAGAGATTAAAAAGGAGACCAACTCCTGCCCTTCCCCAAAACACCCGACCCAACAAGTGAAGTAGGGGAAGGGGAACCTGGGCTGTTAGACTACAGGATACTGTTAATTTTAATAACATGGACATAAAGGAAAATTCTGTTTGCACACAGGGAGAGGCTCAGTTATTGGCTAGTCAAAGCCCAGCATGTATCCACTCTCAAGCCATCACTCACACAGTTCATTTTTTGTCTGTAGATAAGGCTAATTATTGGCAAATAACACTACAGTGCTCCATGACTTAAACAAAAGTTATTAAATCCTGAGGCAAGAAGATATAAAAGCTCTAAAACCTTACCTGGGACTACTCACAACACTGAAGAAGGGAGGCAGACTTTAGTTCCAACCAGGTAATCAATCCTTCCTGAAGAGGGGAGTGGGTTTTCTGTGAACACCTGTTTTCTTTGCCTGCTAAACGCTGGGTCAGAAATTATAACTCTGCTGCTGAGACTTTTCGTTGCAATATTGTTTGATTTTAGTTGCTTATTTTTTCTTTATTATTATTACTATTTATTGTATGGATGCCTACACATGCCATGTGTGGTGTGTGTGGAGGTCAGGGAACAACTACATGGCGTCAGTTCTCTCCTTCTACCTTCACGTGGGTTCTGGGGATGAAACGCTGGTCGCCAGACTTGCTCAGCAAGAGCCCTTACCCTCTGAACCCTCTTACCAGCTTATTTTCTCTCTTCTCTTATTTGGCTTTAGCATCTAGCAAGTGTTGGATTACTTCATGGCTCTGTGGCCTGGTAGCTGTGAAATTTGGGGGAAATTACTTAATCTCAATGAAAGTCAGTTTGTTTCTCTGTAACAAGTTGAAGATACTTGTGGTGCAGCCTAGTTATGGGGGTCAAATGAGCTGACACGAGCATTCACTGAATGTCTACAATTCATTTAATTTAATTTTTTAAAATGCTGTACTTTTCTTCCTCTTGCAAGTCAGCTTGACAGATAAGTCCTCACCATTTGCATTTTCAAAGGGTTTCAGGGCATTAAAAACACTGTAATACTTTTGAAAGGAAAGTTCAACAAAGAAGTGAAAGGTTTATGTAATGAAAAGGAGGCATTCCTCCTCTGTTAATATTGCAACAAGGTGCTCACGTGGACCCCAGATCGGATTTTCCAGGAACGTCTCCATTTCAGCTGTGACAGTCCGCTGTCCCTCTTAGGGAAAACATTTTTGATAAACTGAAGTGTTTCTCAGGGGAGAGAGGAAAGCAAGCCCTGAGCACTGCTGGTGGAGTATGTGGGAAAGCCTTTCCAAAGACATTTTAGCAAAGGGTTTCTAAGTGACAGCGTGCTTACTCTGATGCAACAGACCTGCATCGGTGAAGTTAATACTGAAGAGAGAAGCAAAGCTGAATAAGAAAATGTGATTGCAAGAATGTTCACTTATAGCCAGTCTGTTCCAGAAGAAACACTCAGGTTAAAAACAGTATGATCCAGTTTATAGAAAACTATACACAAATGCATAATGCCTACAGGCTATTCACCAAATTGCATGCCTGGGAGACAAACTCACTTCTTATTTTCTAGTCTGTGCTGATTTTTTAATAATTTGTACACTTTTTGATAGTGAAGGGGGAGAGAATAGCTCAGTTTTTTTTTTAAAAGCAAAGTCAACTAGATTTAAAAGTCAGATCTAGTTATAGCTGGTGACAATAAACTTTAGTCCCCACAAACGTCAGGTTTTTTTTAACTGTAAATGTATCAGGCCAAATGTTTACGTTTACCTTTAACATCAAAGAGCTCAGTGTTGGAACCACTTGATTTCATTTTTTGGACTTTAAAGTCCAGAAAGCCTAGCATCACTTATGAGAAAACATGGCTTGGAATGCCCTCTGCTGACACTGGTGAAAATATCAAGGGAACTCTAGGTAGCCTTATAAATCGCTTCTGTTGAAACCATTGAATATTTCTGTGGTAGTATCCTGCTGTAGTAATAAAATCTTATAAGTTAAATGTTCATAATCTCCATATTAAACGAGATTTTCTTCATTGTAAAACCTGGATTTACTCAGATTTTCCTTTTCTTTTTTTTTCCATATATGATGTGCTGTCTAAGTTCCCATGGCCTTCTTACTGGTACATACAAATGTGTTCAAATTGCAGATCGAGGAGATTGCAGGCATTTTAAAGGAAAACTAATAAGAATTCTGAGATCCTTGAAATCAAAGCAGTCAAGTATTGTGTCCAGAGAAAGGAGATGGCTTCCAAAGGCATGCGGCTGCTTCTGCTGCTGAGCTGTATAGCTAGCCCCGAAGTCATGAGTGGTGAGTACAGTCAGTTAACTGCAATCCAGCCCACAGTCAATAATCACACAGTTCAAGACACAGCATCCACTCAGCCCCTCAGGCACCTGCTGCTGAGCTGTATAGCTAGCCCCGAAGTCATGAGTGGTGAGTAGAGTCAGTTAACTGCAATCCAGCCCATAGTCAATAATCACACAGTTCAAGACACAGCATCCACTCAGCCCCTCAGGCATTGCAAGAAAGATATGTTACAGATGGGAATGAAAAACAATGTGACTTGCCAAGGGCTTTACAATCAAACAAAAAGCCAGCCCAAGCTGGCTGTAAGCCATACTTAAAGCATCAATTATAAAGTTTGCAAGTTTATTGTGAAGGATTGAGACACTGTGTTTAGGCATCTGACACATATCAGGCTGTTCATAGAGGGTAGTTATAATCAGAACTTCTAAATATTTATGCACTGTTTTTCTATTGAGCATACCAGGAATTCCAGTTTGCCAGGGACCTGCAAACATATTTGGAGAGATGACTGTTACACACTCCTAGTAAACATTAAGTACAAAGTAGCATGTCAGCAACACCAAAGAATCCACCAAGGGAGAAAGCAGGTGAAGAAAGGCATTTGAGTGTGCTAAGAATAAATACCATGGAACATGTGGAATGGAAGGAAATGAAATGCGTGCACCTCCAGTATAAACGCTTTGTCCAATTTTCGAGGAAAATGAGGGTCGGAGAAAGACTTGCTCAATGTCACACAGCCAGACTATGTGACACTCTGGCAGGCTCCTAGTCCTGGGAAACTTTCACAATTCTATGTGGGCTTGCTGGGAGTTTTAGGGAGCAGTGTGAGGAATGCTTGCTTAAGCATCACTTCTGTGCAGAAAGACCACTAAGAGATCCAGTGATGCCTATAACTTAGCACTGCTTGACTGTACTGGGCCAGGGGGAGGAAATATGACAAGGAAGCATGAAGAGAAGCAGGGAGGGTCAAGCATGATGATGACCCCAACAGTTGAAGTCTGTGGGCCTTGCCGTAGTCTACCCTTGACATGTCCTTCTATTGTGGTACTCACTGCTCCCAGCACTGCACCAGCCCAGTTCTCTCACCATTAATGACTGCTCAGGACTCAGGGAACTGAACAACCATTTCTGAGTCATGACAGTGTGGAGGACTCTAGGACTTTGCTGAGGCCCTGCTGCAGAGTTGCCTCCCATGACCATCTCTACATGCTGTTCTGGTGCTGGCTGACCCATGCCTTCTCTTCAGGGGCTGGACATTTGCCCCAGTTCCATTCTGTAGGATAGGAAAAGAGACCCTCTAACCCCCATCCCAGGGCTTCACTAATCTCTTTGATTCTCTCCCCAGGAATAGACAGAGCCAAGACCCAGGCCACAGGTCCTGCCATGGCTCTTTTCCAGGCAGATTTTCTTCCCACATGAAGAAAGCCTTTCTGTTTATTATTATGTTCTTGAGAACTGCACTTATGACAGATCCCATATATTCTTTGCATGACAGCTTATGGAAAAAGTCTAATCTTGCATGTAAAGGAAGTACAGAGAATTTAGAAAACAATTTTTTATTCAGCAGAGTGTGATGGTCAAAATCAAAACTCCTGTTGCCCTAACAGTGATTTCTTGCCCTAGCCTGTGGCTGTCTTTGATTCAGTGAGGAGAAACAGAGCTGTATGATTGGGGAATAATAAAAATTGCATCTGGTTAACATTTTCAAAAGTACTATATTTGGACCCCAAGTGTACCATCTTCAAGGTTCTATGTGGAATTTGTCCAGATGAAACCCCAAATAGAACTGTTCAGTGTTCAGAGGACAATCACTTTTGGGAAATTTCCTAATCTCAGATTGGACTATAACAACTTCTATTCTTCATTTAATCTGTAAGAAATATTAGATATTAGTCTTTTCTTTCAAACCCTGTAAAACTTGAAACTTGGTTTATGACAAGGAATTCTAACCTTTTAATCACACTATGCCCTGTAAGACTTTTGTTTAAGGAAAGGCCCTGATACATTCCTGAGGCTGATGGCCTGGAGTAGGAGCTCTTCTCCCTTCATGCCAATTCTTTTAAACTAGTCACCTGGTAAAGACTGCCAGGTGGGACCCCAGCCAATGGGGAAAGGGAACAATTCTCTTGTGTCAGGAATAAAAGTCGCCCCCGCCAAGCTTCTGTGTAGTTGCTGGATCTGACTGATCACACAGGTCACAGGTCAAAAGTAAAATGTAAAAAAATTTATGTTTTTAAATTTTATTCATTTATTTAAAAAATAATTTATTGAGAATTTCATAGATGCATATAAGGTGTTTTGATCAAGTCCATGCCAACTCCCTCCCCTCTGACTCCTCCCATATCTCCCCATCACTTTTTTCTGATAACCTCATGTACTCTTTCTTCTTTTTTTTAAATGGGGCTTTTTGTTACTCTAACATTCCCCCCTCTGAAGAGAAAACCCTAAAATCTTTTTGTTGTTGTTGTTGTTTAAATAAATAATTCATTGAGATTTTCATACATGCATATAAGATATTTTGATCAAATCCATGCCCACTCCCTCCCCTCCAACTCCTCCCATATCTCCCCATCACTTTTTTTTCTGATAACTTCATTTACTCTTCCTTCTTCTATGATTTATTTACTTTTTCTTCTTTCTTTTATTTGTTTTTATGGGTCTTTTGGCTACTCTAACATTCCCCCCTCTGAAGAGGTAACCCTAAAATCTTTTAAGGATTAGATACAAGCTCCCAAATACTTTTGACATTTTTGGCCTTTGGAACAGAGTATCCTGCTAACAATCCTAAGGACATTTTGACAGGTCACAGGTCAAAAGTAAAATGTAAAAATTTTATTTTATAAAATTAAAATTTACCTTATTGAGTAAAAAAATTTTTTTTACTTGGCTGTAGTAATAATGGTGATGATTCTTAACAACTACAATCTAGTCAAATCTGGTGATGTAGGCCTATAATCCTGGCCGCTCAGGAGACCGGGGTAGGACAGTCCCTGATCCCAGATTTGCCTGGGCTATACAGACAGAGTCAAGGCTTAGACAGTCCCTGTCTGAGGGTGGAAAAAAAAAAAGTGTGGAATTTGACAACAGCTCTGTAGCTCTGTGGTAGAGCCTTTCTTACCATGCACCAAATCCTAGGTCCAATCTCCAATATCACAGGAAAAAAACCATAATTCTAACTAGCCACCATTTATTAAATAATTACTATGTACCAGGCTGTGTGCTAATCACTGTGAATGAAATATCCCACTAATCCTCCAAACGACCCTGTGGAAAAGGTGTATATTGATAGTGGTACTGTACAGACAAGATAATCAGAGCTAACAAGAGGTTAAGTAATGTTCCTAGGCCACACATCTGGTAAGAGAGAGAGTAGACTGCTCTGGAGAAGTAGAGCCTGGACACTAAGCCCTGACCCTTCTTGTCGCAGCCTATAGAGCAATGCGGCTGCTGGCACCCTAGGTTCAGGCGTCAGGGGCCTCAGGTTGCTGAGGAAATATTGGCTCCTCCCTCAGATGCCACTGCACTCTCTGCTGGCGACCTCAGGAGGGGTCCGTGTCTGTGCCATTCCCACCTCTCAGGGAGGGTCTGATAAACGCAGCAGCCTGAATAAATGTGGTTGGCCTTTGTGGGCGCTTAGCTTGACATGGGTAAGACTGGAGCTCCACTTGGAACCGCACTGTCTGGGTCAGATCCAGCAGAGCCGCTGTTAGACGCATTTCTAGAAGCTCAGTCTCCTAGAATCCACCAGGGGGAGCATGGCTGTACTGTAATGGTACTGGGTCAAGGGAAGAGAAAAATGAAGGAGCAGGGGACAGGAAAGAATGACAGGAGAGACAAAGAATGGTACACAGAGGCTGGAGAAAAGCAAGAGAGCTAGACAGGGAAACCCATGCACACAGGGAGACACAGAACAGAACAAGCGAGGGAGAGCACAGACTGCGTCCCTGAAGCATGATCTTCTGTCTCTGTACCCTAGCCCCTTTGGTTCCTGAGGCTCGTGCCCAGGACCACTGCTTTTGCTATCTGGAGCCAGAAGTGAAGGTTCGTGGAGGAGGATCTATGTGTTTACCCACAAAATGCACAGCAGAGCCTCTGTAAACCACTCAAGAGAACAGTAACCTGTGCTGAAGCCGAGGGTGTGTGATGTAGGACCCTGGATCTCACACTTAGCGGCGGGTGCCTTGACTTGCTGAGCCATCTCATCAGCCTCCAGGGTTGGAGACTTTTGGTCCCTGCTGCTTCCCTTTTGGAATAGTTTCACTAGTATTGTTTGAAAGGCACACTTCTTGTTTTAGTCACTTTTCTCATTGCTGTGGTCAAATACAGGAAACAACTTAAAGGGAAAGAAAGAGTTATTTCAGCTTATAATTGGAGAGACACAATCCGTAATGGTGGGGAAGGTGTGGTGTCAAGAGGGTGACATGATGGGACATATCGAAGCCAACAGGGCTGTGCTAGGAGACCTCGAGGCCTGCCCATCTTCCAGCCACTCTCCTAAAAGCTCAATAACTTTCTGAAACAGCCCAGCAGCCAGAGAGCAAGCGTTGAAACACGTGAGCCTGTAGAAGGCATTGCCCATTCAAACCATAACGGTTCTGAAGCTGCTTCAGACGGCCCTTCCTGACGTCTGAGTCCATTTCATTACTTACCTGTTTTGGAACAGTCATCAATGGTCAACCTCCTTCTTAAAACCTTTGGTTTTGCCAGGACCTGTGATGCATTCCTATGATCCCAGCACCCAGGAGGCTGAGGCAGGAACATCAAAAACTGGAGGCCAGACCGGCCTACTTGCAAGACACTTCGTCAAAAACATTTTTGTTTTGTTTTGTTAATGCATTTTTATTAATTCCTTGAGAATTTCACCCATCGTATTTTGATCATATTCACCCCCTGCTCCCCAACTCCTCCAAAATCTACCCCTCTTCCCTACCCACCCAACTTTAGATCCTCGCTTTTCTTTTTAAATTCCTTGAGTCCAATTTGTGCTGCCCATATACTCTTGGGTGTGTGGCCATCCACTGAAGCTTGCTCAGCCTACCAGGGGCCACACCCTTAAAGAGAACTGACTTTCCCTCTCCCAGCAGCTTTCGATTGCCATTTTTTTATTGCATTGATTTATGTGGTGGTGGTGGTGGTGGTGGTGGTGGTGGTGTGTGTGTGTGTGTGTGTGTGTGTGTGTGTGTGTATGAAAGTTCAGAGGACAGCTTTATGGACTCAGTTCTCTACTTCCACCATGTGAGCCCTGGAGATCGAACTCAGGTCATTAGATTTGGTGGCAAGCACCTTTACCCCTGGACCATCTTGCCAATGCCAAAAATATTTTTTAAAGGAAAAGAAAAATGCTTAAGAGTCAAAAGTTGAAACGTTCTTTGCTTCATTTCCTTCTGATAAAACAGTTGAGGGCTTCCAACTCTATAAGTAGTTGCTACTAAATTTATAGTTTCTTATTTCTCCGTATTTTAAGTCCAAGATTGGAAGGGTTCCTAGCAGGAATACTGATTTTTAAGCTACAGAACTGAATCTGAAGAGTGGCTTTTTCATTTTATGGTGTGACGTTGGGCAGGTAACTAGCTTAGCTTTGTCCCTCCTCTCCCTAAGTTATTTAGATGAAAATAAAGTATGGATAAACTGCTTAGCATGATGCCCAACACCAAGTAGGCATGGAAGCTGCTGGTGGTGGTAGCAGCAGGTAGCAGTGTTATAAAGGCTCTTTTTGGTATTTGATATGAATGTCTGCTCCCTCTTCCACAGGTAGGAATCAATGAGTGTCTTCCCTGCTTGTTATCAGTGTATTTTAGGTAACCCTCAATGTCTTTCTGTAATGGTCAATATTCATTGTCAGCTTTACTAAATTTGGAGTCACCTAGGAGACATGCCTTTGAGTGTGTCCAGGAGGGTGTGTCCAGAGAGGTTTAACTTCTGTGGGAAGACTCACCCTGAATGTGGGGAGCACCATCCCATGAACTGGGGTCCTGGACTTAAAAAAAAAAAAAAGGGAAGAAAGTGAGCTGAGCACCAGCATTCATCTCTCTCTCTGGTTCCTGACTAGACACAACATAATTAGCAACATCACAGTCCTTCTGCCAGGCCCTCCCTGCTCAGACCATGAGCCAAAACAAATCCTTCCTTTCTTGAGTTGCTTTTGTCATAGCAAGAAGGAAAAATGAATACAGTTTCTTCCCGTGTCTTAGCTCAGTTAGAGATTATCCATCATTCATAGATCCAATAACATGTGCAAAGGATCTAAATCTCTTGGCTAGAATGGGAGCAAGGGTGGGTTGTGTATGCTGTTCCAAATCAGAGCCTGGACTGCTGGCTAGGAGGATGCAGCTTGACAGGGCAAGAAGGTGGAATTGAGGAAGTGCCTCAGTGCTCAGCAGCAAGGGCCAGGGATGTGACTCAGTTGGTAGAGCGTATGCCAGGCATGCATGAAACCCTGAGTTTGAGTCCTAGCACTGCATAAAACCAAGAGTGATGGCACATACTATAAACCCAGCACTCAGGAGTGGGAGCAAGAGGATCAGAAACTCAAGGTCATCTTAGCAAGATAAGAAAGAGAAAAGCTAAGGAGCAGGGAGCTTATCTGAAAGCAACGTGAAGCCCATGGAGATTTACAGGCAGGAGATAAAAGAAAACAAACAGTGGAGCAAACCAGTGACAATATTGTCGTCCGACTGGGGAAGAGAAACTCTCTTATGACAGCTCTAGTCTGGGGGCACCGCTGTGAAGAATGACCTTCACATCCATTTAGAGTGTCAGAGTGCAGCCACATTTGTCACAGAGCTCAGACTGCAGCCTGGCATCACCTTGGTCATCAGTCCCTCTGCCCTTCCAGCCACCTCCCTCTATCAACCTCCAGCTCTAGGCAGAGGCACTCACTAGCCGGCCAGTAGGAGAGCACAAACCTCCCTGAATCATGTGCTCCTTTGCTGTCAGGCCTCTGTCGCTACTGTCTGCCACAACTGTCCCACAGACTCCTGTACGTAAGGCAAACTTAGGGGCTTGCTATTTCTGTGCACACCGGGAAGAATCCTGCCTCCATTCTTCTTCCCCGCCTGTCCCCTCCCTTTGCTACTGATGTACCCTTAAACCCATTCCAACCAAATTACCATCTACCCTACCCCTTTCAAAAAGATCATCTTCTCCTAGTAATGCTTCAAGCTCCCAGTTTATGCCTCTCTCTATTCCACACCGCCCTGCTGTCTCTGCCAGCTGGCCTGAGTATGTCTACTTTAACTGTGCTTCCAGAGCTGGGGAAATGGCCACAGAGCACACACTGTAAGCTTAAACGCCAATGGACACATGACCTCCTGAATTCCTACTCTAATGGTGAAATTTGTGTTTCCCGGAATTAGTCTTGGTTCAGAGTATCCCAGAAAGCTCCCATGATTCCCTTTTCCCAATAAACCACTGCTCTGATAAAGATCCTTTAATGAAAGCTGGGAGAAGGTTAACAGTAAAAAAAAAAAAAAAAAAAAAAAAAAAAAAAAAAGACTTTTGAGACAGTCTAGTTGTACCCTAGGCTGTTCTCAAATTCCTGTGTCGCCAAGGATGACCTTGAACTCTTGTCTCTACCTTCTGACTCTACCTCCTGAGTACTGAGATTACATACCTGGTTTATGCAGTATTGGGCATCAAATCCAGGGCTTGGTGCATGTAAAGCAAGCATTCTGCCAACTGAACTATATCCCTAACCCCATACAAACTTTTAGCAATGCAACAAGGTCCTTCCTAAAGGGATTCTTCCCTTTACTTGAGGTGTTGTGGATTTATAAGCTATGTTAAGTCAGGGTACTGGCTGTTTTTGCTATTAGAACCTGTGTCTGTCTTTTGTTTATGCACAGATAACATACTGAGACCCAGCTGCATTTCTGGATGGTTTTACCACAGGTCCCATTGCTATGGATACTTCCGGAAAATGGGGAACTGGTCTCATGCTGAGGTAAGAAGTTTGACCTGTTGACTTCTTTAGAGTAAGGGGCCAGCCAGAGCCGCAGATCACATTTGACTCAGAGTCAAAGGTTCTTTCTGGGCACTCTGAGGAGAAGTCTTACAGTTGGTGAAATGGAGAGAATAGGGATGTATGTTCAACTCCTTTAATAATTGTGGATGTTGATGAGGTAAACACTATGTGTCCAGACCCTCAATGAGCTGCAAGGACACAGAGTAAGGAGGAAGCAGCTCTGACTCTCAGCAAGTTAGCAGTACATAGACCAAAGGAGAACTGGGAATGAGAGGCTGTATGAGAGTTACAAGAAAGCGAGTGATGAGGCTTATGAGATGGCTCAGTGGTTAAGAGCACTGGATGCTCTTGCAGAGGATCTGGGTTCTGTTCCCAGCACCCACATGGCAGTTAACAACCATAACTCCAATTCCAGAGAATACAACACCTTCTTCTGACCCCCGTGGGCATTGCACGACACAGGTGCACTTACCTACATGCAGGCAATACATGCATACACATAAAATAAAAATAATAAATACAAAATATTTTTTAAAATAAATATATCAAAACAATTTTTAAAAGAGAATTATGTGTAGACAGAGCTGGAAAAAAACACTCAGGGACACCAGGTAAAAGTAAAGAAATCGCTGGGCGTGGCGGTGCATGCCTTTAATCCCAGCACTCGGGAGGCCGAGGCAGGCGGATCTCTGTGAGTTCAAGGCCAGCCTGGTCTACATAGTGAGTTCCAGGACAGCTGGGGCTACAGGGAGACCCTGTCTCAAAAAGATCCAAAAAAAAAAAAGTAAAGAAATCAAAACACAAGGTTTCCTCCCTGGACATAACCCACAAGTGTCTGAGTTTTATTACTCTTAGGCTTACACATGGAAGACACGCACACAATAACCAGTCCAAGTGGAGAGTCGATGCTGCTGTCTCTCTGAGTTATGATTGATTGACACGTATGGGTGCAATGTGGCATGATCGAGACCCAGAACGTCTCAGGACCCCTGTTTATAACTCAACAAAGAAAGAAAGAAAGAAAAAGTATGGAGCGCCTACCATGCGCTAGCTAATGAGTCCTGAGCTGTGTTCTCTGTCTTCGAAGACTGTAATCAAGCAGGACATAGGGGTGCACAGCTATGAGCCAAGCTCTCAGGAGCTGAGACAGGAGGAGCTTGAGTTTGAGGCCAGCCTTGGTTACATAGGGATAGTTTTCCTCAAAAAAACAAACAAAAGAAGCATGGAAGGAGGAATGCAAGATTGTGACAAAAGCTCTCAGGAGCTGAGACAGGAGGACCTTGAGTTTGAGGCCAGCCTTGGTTACATAGGGATAGTTTTCTTCAAAAAAACAAACAAAAGAAGCATGGAAGGAGGAATGCAAGATTGTGACAAACAGAAGATGTCAACGCAGGATGAGCAAAATTTGTTTTCCCAAGATTAATACATAGCAGAGGAAATGCAATGTTTTACTGAGCAAAGTCCTGAATAATTGGGAAAGGCAGGGAGAAGAGAGGAAGGAGAGAGGTGGAGACAGACAGAGAGAGAGAGAGAGAGAGAGAGAGAGAGAGAGAGAGAGAGAATCCCAGATTCTGTAAATACAAGAAAAGTGATCTTCAGAGAGGTGAAGTGACTTGTCAAGGTTGCTGGGTTGAGTATTAGAGTAGGGCACAGTTTTAGAACATTCCTTTGTTATTTGTGTCTTAAAGTTAAAAATGAGATGTTGTACTTCCTCTGGCCTTAAATCTGCTGCCTTAGTCTTGAGCTGCCTCTTCCTCTGAGACCTGACACTGTGGCCTCCTGTCTTCTCCTGTGGTGACAGAAGTCTCCTGTGGAGTTTAGATCCCAGTTTCTGGAGGAAGAGTGGGCTGAGTCCATTCTGCTTGGCACACCAGAGTTCCAAGGAGAGGGCTGTGCTTTGAGAGCTCAAGGCATCATTAATGGGGCCTCTCCTTGCAGCTGGAGTGTCAGTCTTATGGAAACGGATCCCATCTGGCATCTGTCCTGAATCAAAAAGAAGTCAGCGTCATATCAAAGTATATAACTGGCTATCAAAGAAACCAGCCTGTGTGGATTGGCCTGCATGACCCACAGAAGGTAACCCCAGAGTTAGCCAACAAAGCCTCTTGGGAAAGCTAGGATGATAACTCTTTCCGAGA